TATTTAATGCATATCCACGATATATAGAAAAATTGGTCGAAAATAAATTTTGCGTGCCCGCAGCAGAAAAGTAAGGGTGCGTGAAAGTAAATTATCTTTTACTATTAAAACCTGAGACACTTAAATTAAATGCTGAAAATATGGTGTTTATTAAACCAGACTGACAAAATTTGTCGAAAATAAATAAAATATCGCCTATTTCGTATAACGGTATTACTTAACTGAATTAGAGTAATTCAAACAAATATGAAATTTTGAAGACAGCTAAGGCTATAAAGAATCTAATGTTTACCAATTATGGGTTTGTTTTGAAATTTAATCAGATGATGGCGCTGTTGTCTCACTCAAACGTTATATGAAATAGAAGATATGAATATTTTTATTTCACATTTTGATCGAAATCTAAGGAAGATTATAATAATCATTACACACATAAATATAAGTCAACATTAGCGGGCATGATGGCCGAGGGATCGGAATGAAGGTCCGACATTCGAATCCCCAGCCGAGCACGTGCAGATCAAAAAGTATCATCGAGCTGACAAAAATATTGCACTATTTAAAAAATCGACCTGGCGGAATACCCGGAGTGGGTGGTAGCCATTGAAAAAAATCTAATAAAATTGTTAATTCATATTAATGAAACAAATATCAAATATATATTTAAAAAATATTTTTTTTAAATATCTGATATAAACGTCAAACAATTATTAAAAAATATATAGTTTTTAAATATCTGAGTTAAATGTCAAATAAATATTTTAAAAAAATATTTCTTAAATATCTGATTTAAATGTCAAATAAATATTTCTTAAATATGTAAGAATCTGTCGCGTCAGATCTAGAGTAAATATTTGAAAAAAAATATTACTGTAATATGGGTAAGTATGGGAGGGGAGCTATTCCCAGTTAAGGGGGGCCATGATGGATTTTTGGCCCTCTATACACCGATTACTACTAGTGTTGACGTCGAAAGACTTTTTCAACCTTTAAATCGATTCTAAGTGACAGAAGGCGGAGTTTTAAAGTTGAACATTTAAATCAACAATTGATGATTGCCTGTTATTATCATAATAGAAAAGATTAGATTTTAGGATGTTAATAAATTTTAAAGGCAAAAATGTATGTTATGTTTCTATCGAATAAGTTATCTGCATGTTGAAAGGGAATATGTTGTCAAGTTATCTTATGTTATTTTATTACGACTATGAGTAACAATATTTCTTATATAAAGGCAGTAATATTTATACGGTTTTTTTAGTGTTTGTTTCATGTTACTAAGCCTTTAATTTCACCATAGCTTTACGATTGTAATGCTTTTCTGTTCTTTTTAAAATATTTGTATACTTTTTTATATGCTTTTTATGTTCAAATTATATGCTTTTTTAAGCACTTATATCAGATTTTTTGTGCTTTTTTATCCGAGCTTTAGTCATTATACGGTTAGGTTCGGCCACAATTAAAAATCCGTATTTAAGAATAATTGTACTAATTTCAAATAAAGTTGTTTTTAAAGACGAAAGTTTTAAATTAATCAATAAAATTCGACATAGAATTTCTCAATAAAAAATGTTAATCATTCAGACGAGTAAAACGGATAACGGGACGGTCAAGCAAACGATTATCGTGGTTATATTTAATCGGGAATATATCGCCTATCGAAATATTGGCATTTTGGTGCTGAAAAGTAAGAGTGGTGGTGAAAAGTGTGTTTATGGGTTTTTCTAAAGTGAACTGTTGGTGCAAGTGAATCACAGCCGATATGGAAATGGTTTTGGATGGGGCCCCAGCATGCAGAAACCTGCTAAGATAGATCTCTCAAATACAGGGTGTCCGCAAAAATGTAGGATTTTTTCAAAACATTTGGCTTGAACTGGCGGATGTTTCTTGAGAGAAACATTTTTTCAATGGAGCTTAGAATTATTTCCTGTACACTAAACATATTTTTTCTTCTTTCCAGGTGACACGATGCAGCTTTCGGTAAGTTTGGCTTTACATTTTCGCTGGCAGATCGCGTTTAGATATTGTTCTTGTATTTTCTTATATTATTGCATGTACTATTTATGCTACTAGGAACGACGAGAAAGTATTTGGGTTCTGTACTGCGTTAATCGAATTTCTTGTTTTAATACGAACATATAGCGCAAACATGTAATGCAACTGTCGTTTTGTGTGAATTACACTTTCTATTGTCTTGGAAGATAATTTGTAGCATTTATTGCTGTTTTCTTCTGTTATCAATTTAATTTCATACTACATTTTCTTCTAAATTTCGACACCGATTTTTTTGGTGCGTGACGTTTATTATTATTTAACGACTTTTGTTGTGTTTTAACTGGAATTCTTCAGTGCTCGATATAGAACACTCGTAAATTTTGTTCCTCTTC